CTTATCAGCCAAGCAAGGGTGAACGGTATCTATTTAGAGTTACAACCCCCAGTATGCCCAAATATGGGGGGAAGATCACTACTTCCATTCTCTGTTCATCGGCTCGTCACAAGAGACCATCCAGACAGAAAGCCCAATATTTTACTTTCCCTTTATTTATTTATCAGCACAAATACAACATGTGTGTGTGTGTGTGTTATTTGTGCTGATAAATAAATAAAGGGAGACTAGTATAGATCTATTTCAAGCTATTTAGCTCTCATCAGCTAGCCATACCCTTACTGGGAATCGAGCCTGTGCTGTATTGCCTCTAATACAGTACAGAAATTGTGGGAGCTTCATCACTGGAGGCTTTCAAAAAGAGATTGGGCTGCCATCTGTCAGAAATGGGTGTAGGGTCTCCTGCTTGGGCAGGGGGTTGGACTAGATGACCTACAAGGTCCCTTCCAATTCTGTTAATCTGTTAATTTGTTAATCTGACCGCCCATGTTTGGAGTAACACCTGAAGTGAGCCTTGGAATCTGGCTGGTCCAGGCGAAAGAAACTCCACGTTGCTCAGAAACTAGTCAGGACAGATCAAAGGCTCCCTGTGAAGCTGCCAAGCCTCTTCCTTTTGCTGCCTAATGCAAGCAGAACCTCTTCCATCTATTCTCTCCGTCTCTGGTGTGTTTCCAGGCTGCCATGCATTATTCCTAGCTAGCAGGTTGGGGGAAATTATTTTACCATCTCATATAATTGTGCCACTGGAAAAAAGCAACTGGATTTTTTTAATCAACAAAATGAAGAAGTAGTGAACTATAAAATTGCTAATTATTTTCTAGTAAATTTACTTTTGAATAACTTGAGACACCAATTACAGGGACCATTAAGCACCATTAGCAGTGGGTGTGCCAAGGCTGGACGCCATTCGCAGCAGGCAAAGCAAGCGGAAGCTTTGATTTCCTGCTTGGAGGCGGGCACGGACTGCCTGCCCTCTTTCTTCTCTCCCATCCTTCGCCAGGAACTTAAAAAGTCATCAGATGTTTAATTATGTATTAAATTAGAAAAGAGGGTTTTTCAGAAAAAGAAGAAGGAGCCTGATATTGCTGTACTGGGATTCCAGCATCCCTTGAGGAAAAAACACTCTTCCACTACACTCAGAGCCTGGTTTACAGCCATGCCCGAGGATCCTGGCCTGCAAGGGGAGGGGAAAATTCACCTCTTCCCTTTGGGTGCCCTTTGGAGAAGCTGAGGGGCCCATCCAACAGCCCTCCTGGCAGCCTCCTCTTCCATTGCAGCCCAAGCAGAATTTCCTCCTGCTCCAGTTTGGTTAGTACACCCCAAAAGGTGACGATGTGTGGGGGAGTGTCCAAGGCTTGTGGCCACCAGTCCCTTTCTGGGCCGAGTGCTCAGGGCTGACGTGCCCTTCACTCTGAAAGGGAGGCACCCACTCCTATGACAATGACTTGTCTTGTCTCCCTCCCCCCACTTAGTGCATCAAGGTGACCCCATGTCTCTTTCCACCCTGAGAGGGTGAGGAATCAGAGGGCTGTGTTTCCAAGCATGGAGCCCATGTTGGATTACTCATCTACATTCAGGCCAGTCCAGGGTTTCATGCCCTGGGAAAAAGCAGCTTCTTTCAAGGGGCCGAAAGCAGCGAAAGGCAACACTCCTGATCCGTGGACACTTTCGGAGATGGGGTTGGAAGAGCCCCCCTCCTCCTCTCCCTCAGGGGGGCCAGTGAGCGAGGCCTTGTGCAGTTCTTCTCTCGCCAGTGCAGTTGGGACCCCATTCCCATGTGGGGCTGCTTTCACCCCCCAAGTGCAGCTTATGGCTGGGGGAGGGGCACAACAATGAAGGGCCAGCCTCAAAACTCCAACTCCGAGGAATCCTCAGGGTTTCTTCTTCCTCATCAAACTTGAATGGGATGCCCCGAGTTCAGGTTTGGACTCTACTCAAAAAATAAATTATTGACTGAGGTGAAGAGGTGAAGGAAATGCTTATTAAATTTGCAGACAACACAGAAATGGGCAGGGTAGTGAATACCTAAAAAGACAGAAATAAATTTTTAAAAAACCTTAATAGAGGCTTAAAAAATGGGTTGAAAATAAGAGATTGAAATTTGACAGATAAATGCAATTTGCTGCTTAGGAGAAATATATCAAGTACACAAGAGTAATACGGGTGTGCAACAACGGTGTCCAACGTGTGTTCTTAAGGTTCTGGGTCTACCTGGAAAGAGGCATGCTGTGGGGCACCCCAACGTTTAGTCCTGGGGCCCGTGCTTTTCAATGTTTTCTTCAATGATGGACACAAGTGGATGGAAAGACGATTCGTAAGGGCAGACACACAAAACTGGTGCAGGGACTGCTAGCACTTCAGAAGATGGGCTCAATGTTAGAAAGAAACCTAGTGTACTTGAATATTGGGGCCTCCAGCATTATATAATTTAATGGAGGGAAATGCACAGTTCTACATACCAATAAAAGAGAATATTTGTAGCTCAGGGTTGAAATGAGCGGTCCTTGGTGCTCTCTGAACTTGGTTGTTCTTTTACAAACATTTCATTAGCCAAACTAGATAACATCATAATTTGACATTGATTATGATGTTACCTAGTTTGGGTAATGAAATGTCTGCAAGAAAACAATCAAGCTCAGACAGCACCAAGCACCCTGCAGTTCTACATTTCAGCAGGGTAAAACCAGAGGCACAGGTGCAAGATAGGCAGGGCCTGGCTCAACCCTTGTGAGAATGGTCTAGGCCCCCTGGTAGAACACAAGCCAACCATCTCCTACAGCTGCCAAAAGAGTCAATGCAATCGTGGGCTGCATCAACCAAGACATGGTACAGAGATCATGGGAAGTGATAGTTCTGCTGTAAGCTGAGCTGCTCAAACTGCACATGGAATAACTGTGTACGCTTCTTGTGGCGATATAAGAATGACACTGAGGAAGGGAAGGGGGGCCGAGACAAGTAACAAAGGTGGTGAG